GTTGGGCAAGCGCAGGCAACGTCGCCAATGTTCGGGCCTGGTGCCTGGCCCGTTGTACAGCCTCCTCCTTTTGTCCCACCCGGTGACTGGGGTATCCCCATATGTAGCCCCATCATCGGTTGCGATCGTTTCCCTGTGCATGCCGCTATCAGGAGGGATCACATCAGGATCTAGTTTGCAGGTTCCGGTACAGACATTTTTCACCCAATCTCCGCTGCAGGTTGCGGTTACCACACAGCCTGCTGTCTCGCAGTCTGTACAGCCGCAGGGTACACAGCCCCAACAGTTAGCACAACAACCTGTGTCAGAGGGTCCATAGCTCGGAGTGATGCAGGGACCGGGACAAACATAGTGGGTTCCAAAGACAGCCATCGCCGCTCCCAAACCTTTTACAAGGGATAAGAGGGCCGAAGACCTCGACACGTGGTTGAGGGCAGTGCCAGTCTATGTTAGGTGTAAACTTACCTTGCCGCACGAAGAAGTGCTTGTGGCTGCCTCCTACCTAGAGGGTAGTGCAGCAAGATGGTTGAGTGGTTTAGTACAGCTCCAGGGGTATGGTCATGACTTCCGCGCTTGGCCAGTCACCCAGAAATTGGACGACTTCCTTAAGYTGGTGGAGAAAAGGTGGCATGATCCYCAGGAGGCCCAAAGGGCCACTGACGTGATCCTGACACTGCACACGCGGCAGTTCAAGTCAGTAAGGGAAGCCACYGACGMTGTTGARCGTCTGATCTGTGTCCCAGGGGTGCGCTATRACCCCCAGGTTCTACTCACCTCCTACCTGAGATGCTTCTCTTTGCTTCTCAGAAACCAGTTGGCAGGTGAGGCCAACATCAATATGCACAACTTTCCTTCGTTTAGCAAGAAGGCCCTAGACCTTGAGGCGAAGATAGGGCATGGACAGGCACCCACCACAGACRGAAGGAGGAAGACACTGCCTCCTAACTGGAAGGCGAAGGGTCGCATTATGTTCGTCGATAASGATGGTTCAACCATCGAATTAGACGAYAACTTCYAGGAAGGAGTAGGTTCAGAGGCAGGCAGCGTTGAAGCGTCARGGGGTGGAGTTGTCGCTGCTGTAACTCAGAAAGGTAAGGCGACCRGTAGACGCCGCGGAGGCTCCCGGTCAAGGAGTCAAGTGGACCCCAACGCTCCCCCATGGGAGAAGGCGGGTCTTACCGAGGACGTGCGGAGAGATCGGTACTCACGGCAAGCATGTATTCGTTGTGGTCAATATGGCCATAATCAATTCAAATGTCGTAACAAGAAGGTGACCGACAAAATCCCGGCTACGATGGGGCAGGCGGTAGGATCCTCCCATCTCGTTGGTAGCAATGTTGCCAGCACTTCAGGCACTGCTCCGAGAAACACGTCGGGCCAGTAGGAATAGTAGCTGTTCCTGCTAGGGTCGAGGTGGTGGTGACACCCTCACCATCTCGAGAGATGGCCCAAGCTACTGACTCCAACGTCGTCCCGCAAACACGTTCAGACCCATCGAGCCTCTGTTCGATGAATGTGTTTGTAGAGGAGCTAGAGGAGTGGTCTAGATCAGACCCGCTAGCTTCTTGGACGGCCCTAGTCAAAGCCCCGAAGGGTGAGATGTTCGTCAGCGAGGTGGTCATTGGGGGCCGCAAGGCCGGGGCCTATTATGACACTTGCTCGACTGGGAACTTTATCAGTTGCGCGTGCGTTGAGAGGTTGCATTTACAGGGGCGAGTGCAGCGCCTGAATCGACCTGTGGAGTCGACCTGTGCCAACAAACAGCGCATGGTAGTCAATGACTACCTCCAGGATGTTGAGTGTTGTTTCCCGTACGCGGGAGGGGAATTGAGACATCGCGTCTCGTTCCTAGTGAGCGATGAACTCCCCATGGACATGTTGTTAGGTATGCACTACCTCTCTGTGGCACAGCCCCAGTTTAACTTGGACCGAAAAGTGGTCAAACACACTTTGCCAGGTGGAGGGACCGCCAGATTGCATAAGTTTAAAGCTAGTAGTCTGATTGAATCCCATGGATGCATGTGTGCGGCCACGTTCTATAACTATTATAAGCAAAATCAGGAGGAGGGTATGTACTTAGTTTATGTCTCTGCTGCAGGCAAGCCAGTGAAAATGCCGCCGGAGATAGAGGGAGTAGTTGCCAAGTACCCTGATCTATTTGAAGAGCCGACAGGGGTTGTAGAGAGGGAGGTCGTCCACGCGATAGAGATTATCCCAGGGTCTAGTATTCTGAAGGGTAGGATCTATCGGATGTCTCCAGGCGAGCTCGACGAGCTTCGCCGACAACTCAAGGAACTCGTAGAGAAGGGTTGGATCCGGCCGAGTGTCCCTCCTTATGGGTCTCCAGTATTATTCGTACCTAAGAAAAAGGAGGGAACTCTAAGGATGTGCATTGACTATAGGGGCCTCAATGCCATCACTGTTAAGAATAGAGAGCCCCTACCACGCATCGACGATTTGCTAGATAGGATGCAAGGGTGTCGGTACTTCAGTAAGATAGATCTGAAGTCCGGGTACCATCAGATTGCAATCCGGCC